ATGGCATATTCGTCTTGGTCATCTTTCTTTTGAGTCATAAAAAGTTATGTTCCCAAAGTTGTGTCAATGAGTCAGTTATAGTGTCAGACATGTCAATTGAGTAAACATTGTAGAAGTTCTTTACCTTTGAGAAATAAAATATCTGAATTTCCATTTCATATTGTTTATTCWGATGTTTGGGGCCCTGTTACTCTACCCACTGWGGCTGGATATAAGTACTTCATTACCTTGATTGATGATTACTCTAGATACACTTGGGTTTAMCCTATGCGATCTAGAGATGAAGTGCCAAAAATTGTGAAAGACTTTCAACGCATAGTGTTCATTCAATTCCAAACTGAAATCCATATCTTCTAGTCGGACAATGCGAAGGAATACTTCCATAGTGATCTCACGGAATTTTTTGCTTCGAGTGGCTCACTTCAGCAAAACTCTTGTGCCAGGACACCCCAACAAAATGGTGTTGCTGAACGAAAGAACCGTCACCTTCTCGAAGCAGCTTGTGGCTTATTAATTCATATGAATGTGCCAAAACATTTTTGGATGGATGCAGTTTTGTGTGCTACATACATCATCAACCGTATGCCATCTCGGTTACTAGAGTATAAGGCCCCAAATCAGCTTTTGTTTCCTACAGCTCCATTGTCCACCATTCCGATGCGTGTTTTTGGGTGTCATTGCTTTGTCCATAATTTGTCCCCTAATCGAGGTAAACTTGATCCTCGGGCTATTCCTTGTGTTTTCCTTGGTTACCATTTATCTCAAAAGGGGTATCGTTGCTATGATCCTACCTCTCACAAGTATTGTGTCTCCATTGATGTATCCTTCTTTGAGAATCAACCTTTCTTATGGGTTTCTCCTCAGGGGGAGAGTAGGGTTGAGGAGAACCAGACGATTCAAACTCAACTACCTCCTTTACTCGATCCTCCTCCATTCTGGGTTTTTCATCGTCGCCATAAAAGCCAGCAGAGTTCAAGAGCCGTGGAACCTAACACTATGCAACAAACATCATCGAATTCATGAGAGGCAGATCTGTCTCATCAGCCAGGTACACTTGCTCCTATTGATATGCCTGTTCCTCTCAATGTTGATTCACCTGTCATCAATGATCTTGATATTCCTATTGGTAAGAGAAATGGTGTTAGATCTTGTACCACTAATCATCCTATCTCTAATTTTGTGTCCTATGATCGCGTTTCACCTTCATTCCGTGCATTCCTCTCTTCTATGGACAGTGTTCCCGTTCCTAAGAATGTGGCATAAGCTTTATCTAAGCCTGAATGGACAGATGCAATGCAGGAAGAAATTGATGCATTACACAAAAATGACACTTGGGAGTTGGTGGACCTTTTTGAAGGGAAAGAACTAGTATGTTGCAAGTGGGTGTTCACAGTGAAACACAAGGCTGATAGAATTGTTGAAAGGTACAATGCTAGACTGGTAGCAAGAGGTTTTACACATGTATATGGAATGGACTATGCAGAAACTTTTGCTCCAGTAGTCAAGATGAACTCTATCAGGATCCTTCTTTCATTGGTAGCAAATCTTGACTGGGACTTCACTAATTGGACATCAAAAATGCTTTCTTGAATGGTGACTTGGAAGAGGAAGTGTATATGACCCAACCTCCAGGTTTCTGTGCAAAAGGCAATGAACAAAAGGTGTGCAGGTTAAAAAAATCTTTATATGGGTTTAAACAATCAACTCGGGCTTGGTTTAGTAAGTTCCATTTAGCAGTTCAACAGATGGGGTTCAAACAATGATAGTCAAATCACACTCTATTTGTTAAAAGAGGTGAAGGGAAAATTGCAGCTCTTATTGTGTATGTGGATGACATAGTGATCACAGGAGATTGGGAGGCTGAAATACAGAGACTAAAAAAATTCTTAGCCACTCAATTTGAGGTGAAAGATCTAGGCCCCTTACGTTATTTCCTTGGA